GCCGCATTCGATCTCTCAAGGCCGAGGAGGAACCACCAAAATTTACGTTGGATGATGTTGCAAATGTCATCAGAGGGGCAAAGTCATCCAAGGCGCTTGGTCCAGATGGAATCTCTATGCAACTGGACGTCAACTTGTCGTTAGCCCCCTAATAGTTCCCGATGTCTGGAAAATGAGCAGGGTGGTACTGCTACTGAAGCCAGGCAATATATATCTATATCTGAACCGATTCCAGGGAAACTTGCCTATGTCTAATTTATATTACTTCAGTAAGTTGTGTCCATCGGCCTAGCTATGGATCTTTTCACGAAGCTTAGCAACATCATTCTAGACTTAATTACATAAAATCGGACAAAAATATACATGGGAGCTATATCTAAATCTGAAGTGATTTTCACGAAACTTAGCACACGTCATTCTAGACTTAATTCAGTACGCTATGACAAATTTTGTGCAAATCGAAAGAAATATAGGGTCTTTGGTGCACCAATTACCTTAAATCGGATGAATATATATATGGGAGCTATATCTAAATCTGAACCGATTTTCACGAAACTTAACACACATCATTCTAGACCTTATTCATTACGCTGTGCCAAATGTCGTGCAAATCGAAAGATATATAGGGACTTTGGTACACCATTTACCTTAAATCGGACGAAAATATATATGGGAGCTATATCTAAATCTGAACCGATTTTTCCCAATTTCAATAGGGTTCGTCCCTGGGCCAAACAAATGAGCTGTGCCAAATTTTATCCAATTCGGATCATAAATGCGACCTGTACATTGTTGACAATTTGACATGGACAGACGGACGGACATGCATAAATCGACTCAGAAAGTGATTCTATGCATATTCTCAAAAGGAACCATGGGTCTATCTGGATTATTTTTGCCTGTTACAAACATATGCACAAAGACATAATACCCTGTACCACAGAGTGGTGAAGGGTATAAAAAACCTTCTGGGTTTCAAGTTGGCACATTTTTTATTCATGATTTTTTATTTTTTTATTTAAATCAAATTAAATTATATCGAAAATCAGCAAATAATCAAGCATTTCTATTATATTTTACTAATTCAATTTCGGTTCTATCTAAAATAATATTCTTTATTTTAGAAAAAAAACTAAATTTCCCAGTAAATTAAATTTTCAAACCACAAAAATTATTTCTACTATCCTTTTTTTTGTTCTAACAAAAAATAAATTATTTTATTGTTTTTACAATAAAGTTGGATTTTATATGGAGTTTGCGCATCTTCAAACGAACTTATATCATGGGCGTTTCCCATTACAAACCGCACCCTCTTAATATCCAACCAATCAACATTCAAGGATAAAAATTGATGCAGGGTGTCAATAGATTTTGTGTGTGTGTCCGGACATTGTTCTAGGATGCTGGCGGGTATATATAAAACACGCTGTTACACATTTAAGGGATAACTACTCAACGCACATAAGACAATAAAAATAATAATAATGACAACGATAAACAAAAACAACGAGAAGGAATCTCAATGTAATACTTGTTGCTTTCATTGTTAAAAGGACGGTCGGTTGGTTAGTCTGAGAGTTTGGTATGGGAAGCGAAATAAATATCTTGGCATTTTAGCCATGATTAGCATTAACTTCATTTAAATGATTTTATTCCCATCTATTTTTTTTTCTCCATTTTCCTTTGTCCAATTGTTTTTTTTTTTTTTTTTTTTTTTTTTTGCTACACTTGCTGATTTAATGTTAATGCCTTGGCAATAACAATGGCAATGTTGTTAAATCAAAGTTAATGTAAAATTTTATTGTCTATATACAACTTGGAGGCAAGGAACACCATTTCCACGGGAGCCTCTGGAGAAAAGAAAATGACTTAAAGAGGAAAAATAGTTGAATATCCTGCTATTTGTCTTTGATTTATTACCAGCACTTATGTGTTATATCTAAATGTATCCTCTCGTAATCTCTCCACTCATATCCTTCTTCTTATATATTAAGGAGGATTAAAGCATAACGAATGTTTTTTATATTTTTTTCATCCAACGAGTGTGGAAAAATGTTAGGTTATAATACTTGTATATTCGAGTGTGTGTGTGTGTGTCTAAAGTGGTTATTAGTGTTAAGTGTCGCTTATAAATCAACTTAACTTTGGCAGATGTATAAAACAATATTCGATTCAATTTTTTTTTGTAGCAAAAAATCTAAGAGAAAAGTGCAAGAAATTTGTCGGAATTAAAAGAAGAACTTTAGAGGGCTAAAATGTCCGCTCATAGAGGACCGAAAGGTCTTCTAATAGAGCACCGAAAGATCTTCCAATAGAGGACCCAAAGGTCTTTCCATAGAGGACCGAAAGGTCTGCTCATAGAGGACCGAAACATCTTCTAGTAGAGAACCGAAAGATGTTCTAATAGAGAACCGAAAGGTATTCTAATAGAGGACCGAAAGGTATTCTAATAGAGGACCGAAAGATCTTCCAATAGTGGACTAAAATTTCTTCTCATAGAGGACCGAAAGGTCTGCTCATAAAGGACCGAAACATCTTATAATAGAGAACCGAAAGGTCTTTTAATAGAGAACCGAAAGGTCTTCTAATAGGGGACCGAAAGGTCTTCTAATAGAGGACCAAAAGGTCTTCTAATAGAGGACTGAAGGTGCTTCCCATAGAGGACCCAAAGGTATTCTCATAGAGGACCGAAAATCCACGCCTTGAATATGTATTTAAAAAAAATCCAGGCCTTGAAAAAATATTTAAAAAAATCCAGGCCTTGAAAAAATTATTTTTAAAAAATCCACGCCTTGAAAAAATATTTTTAAAAAAATGCACGCCTAAAAAATATTTCTAAACAAATCCTTGAAAAATATTTTTTAAATAAAAAAAATATTTTTAAAAAAATCCCCGCCTTGAAAAATATTTAAAAAAAATCCACGCCTTGAAAAAATATTTAAAAAAAAATCCCCGCCTTAAAAAATATTAAAAAAAATCCACGCCTTGAAAAACTATTTTTAAAAAATCTACGCCTTGAAAATCTATTTTTAAAAAATCCACGCCTTGAAAAATATTTAAAAAAAAATCCACGCCTTGAAAAAATATTTTTAAAAATCCACGCCTTGAAAAAATATTTTTAAAGAAATGCACGCCTAAAAAAATATTTCTAAACAAATCCTTGAAAAATATTTTTTAAATAAAAAAAATATTTTTTTAATAATCCACGCCTTGAAAAAATATTTAAAAAAAAATCCCCGCTTTGAAAAATATTTAAAAAAAAATCCCCGCTTTGAAAAATATTTAAAAAAAAATCCACGCCTTGAAAAAATATTTTTAAAAAATCCACGCCTTGAAAAAATATTTTTAAAAAATCCACGCCTTGAAAAAATATTTTTAAAAAATCCACGCCTTGAAAAAATATTTTTAAAAAATCCACGTCTTGAAAACATATTTTTAAAAAATCCATGCATTGAAAAAATATTTTTTAAAAATCTTGATAAAAATCCACGCCTTGAAAAAATATTTTTAAAAAATCCAAGCCTTGAAAAAATATTTTTAAAACATCTACGCCTTGAAAAAATATTTTTAAAAAATCCACGCCTTAAAAAAATATTTTTAAAAAATCCACTCCTTGAAAAAATATTTTTAAAAAATCAAGGCCTGAAAAAAATATTTTTAAAAAATCCACGCCTTAAAAAAATTAAAAAATCCATTCCTTCAAAAAATATTTTTAAAAAATCCACGCCTTGAAAAAATATTTTTAAAAAATCCACGCCTTGAAAAAATATTTTTAAAAAATCCACGCCTTGAAAAAATATTTTTAAAAAATCCACGCCTTGAAAAAATATTTTTAAAAAATCCACGCCTTGAAAAAATATTTTTAAAAAATCCACGCCTTGAAAAAATATTTTTAAAAATATCTACGCCTTGAATTTTTTTTAAAGCACGCCTTGAAAAAATATTTTTAAAGAATTGCACGGCATGAAAAAATATTTTTAAAGAAATGCACGGCATGAAAAAATATTTTTAAAGAAATGCACGGCATGAAAAAATATTTTTAAAGAAATGCACGCCTTGAAATTTTTTTTAAATCCACGCCTTTTAAAAAATATTTTTAAAAAATCCACGCCTTGAATTTTTTTTTTTTAAATCCACGCCTTTTAAAAAATATTTTTAAAAAATCCACGTCTTGAATTTTTTTAATCCACGCCTTTTAAAAAATATTTTTAAAAAATCCACGCCTTATAAAAAATATTATTAAAAAATCCACGCCTTTTAAAAAATATTTTTAAAAAATTCACGCCTTATAAAAAATATTTTTAAAAAATCCACGCCTTGAAAAAATATTTTTTTTTAATTCCAAGCCTGTGATATATTTTAAATGATGAAAATACCCTTACAAAATTTTATTTTTTATACACGATTTATTGATGCGACTATATGCCTATATTTTTTGTATAACTTATATACACTTAAAAACTATTTTATAAGCAATATTACATTTGAATTATATATCAACTATGTATAACAACTGATGCAATTATATTAAAGTAAAAAAAGATAAAGAGAAAAAAGGTCAAAAACATAAATCTTGATCAAAAATAAGAACTTATAAATATTTGGTAAAGGGGATAAAAAATGAATCGAAATAGTTTTTTTAGTAATTTATAACGAAAAAAAAAATTGAATGAAGGAAAAAACTACAAAATAAATTCTTATAGAATATCGGGTGTTTGAAAAACTTTCAAAAAGTTTTGCCTGACTTTGCAATCGAATCTTTTGTGTTTTAAAAGAAAATCTTTTTTTTTAGAAGTTAAAACTATTATGTACATGTAATTATTTTTCTGTTAGGTTATCATAAGTTTCATTTAAAAATCCTATTACTAAGAATTATGTAGACTACTTTAAAATACAATTTTATTTTGTATTTCCGAAAAATAAAGTATGGTGTTTTTTATTATTAAAAATAATTTAACAAATTTTCAAACTTGGTCAATTCATGTGAGATAACGTAGTATTTAATCTTGAGTATAACTGGTGTCTGTATTGCGTATGGAGAAATCGATAATTTCCACTAGACAGCGACCCAACTCCTCCATAACCATTTTTTCCATTTGATATGCGGGAAGGCCATTCTTTTCACATTCATCTGCCTGGGTGACCATACATTGGATGGTGGCATCAACAACTTCTTGGGTAATAAAATTACATTGTTGTTTTTCCGGTGGTGCCAAATCACTATTCAGTTCGGCACCATATTCTTGCTTTACACTATCTCTGCCATATTTTTCTGTCTTGACGTTGCCATATGAATCACGTTTATCGTAAGACCGTTTTTGACCTGTGGAGGCGTTGCCGCTGGCATTTGCTATTGTTGCCATAACTTTGGGATCAACCGGATCCATATCCAAATCGGGACGATCTTCAACATTGCGACATCCTGCAACAATATAGATAAATAAAAATTGTGATTGAAGTTTGGGTTCAAAATTCTGTTATTTCGTTGTTACTTACCCACACATTTACAATTCGAACTACACGGAATCTTGGCCTCATAACATTCACAGTAGTTCTTAAGGCATCCCGAACGTTTGCAATTGCAACCTTTGTTGTGTAGACGCATATCTCCTAAATCACTGGATGATGTTATCTTTGGTCTGCAGAAAGAAATAATAGAGAGTGTTTATTGATTGGTGTTAAATGTCATGAAATGCCATAGAAATTTGAATTCACGGCGTTCTGTGTTATAAATTTCAAACATGTTTTCAAAATTGTCAGTTAAAAAGTGTGAGGTTCACATGTTTCCGTTTCTTGTTTGACATTTGTACTGTACAGACAAAATGGTCACATGAGGGGGGTTCACACAATAGGATATGGACGTCATTTTAAATTTAAATGTCATTTTAAGAAATACCAAGTTCTTTGAAAAAATATTTTTAAAAAAATCCCCGCCTTGAAAAAAATAGTTTTAAAAAATCCACGCCTTGAAAAAATAATTTTAAATAATTTTAAAAAGTCCACGCCTTGAAAAAAATAGTTTTAAAAAATCCACGCCTTGAAAAAATAATTTTAAATAATTTTAAAAAGTCCACGCCTTGAAAAAAATAGTTTTAAAAAATCCACGCCTTGAAAAAATAATTTTAAATAATTTTAAAAAATCCACGCCTTGACAAAAATAGTTTTAAAAAATCCACGCCTTGAAAAAATATTTTTAAAATAATCCACCCCTTGAAAAAATATTTTTAAAAAAATCCACCCCTTGAAAAAATATTTTTAAAAAAATCCACGCCTTGAAAAAATATTTTAAAAAAATCCACGCCTTAAAAAAATAATTTTAAAAAATCCACGCCTTGTGTAGCACCTAGGGAGGATCCTTTAAAAAAATATTTTTTAAAAAATCCACGCCTTGAAAAAATATTTTAAAAAAAAATCCGCGCCTTGAAAAAATATTTAAAAAAATACACGCCATGAAAAAATATTTTAACAAAATTTACGTCTTAAATTTTTTTTTTTTTAAATCCACGCTTTGAAAAAATATTTTTAAAAAATCCACGCCTTGAAAAAATATTTTTAAAAAAATCCACGCCCTATAAAAATATTTTTTTTTTTTTAAATTCACGCCTGTCCTTAGACCTTTAAGAAATATTTTTTAAAAATCATTGGATTTTCAAAAAAATCCAATTTTACTCACTTAAATGCACTGGGATTCCTTTCCAAGCAGCTGCGTATGGCCCGTTGACGTTCATCTTCATTCTGCAGATTGTTGCAACAATCTTTGCATGTACAATCCTGACAAAATTCACCATTGGCAAAACAATCACAATAGAGTTTCAGGCACTGAGATTTACTGCAATTGCAGTGTTTGCGTCGCACAGCTCCGACCAAATCGATTTTATTCGGGTCCTCTTTAATGTCTGTGGCAGAGATTGAGGGTAAAGGAGGAGGAAGAGGTTGCAATAATGCAGCGGTCGCCGCAGCAGCAGCAGCATTTGATGATAATGAAGCTGATGGTGGTGCCATGTTAGATGATGATGACGACGATGATGATGCTGTGGTGGGCTTGTAATGAAGTTTAGTTTCTTGGGCGACTGTGGTGGAGGAGTTGGAACTTTCATAAAATTCTAATGGTTCTTCTTTAATTTTGATCGAACTAAAGTTCGAGGATGTTAATGTGGCCAGATTGGTGGAGGATGATGATGA